AACTGCAGAACTGGAGTCAGCTGAAGTAGCCTGCAGTGCTGCATTTAACCGCTGCGCCACCTCGGCTCTTGTTTGGGACCTGAAGGCCAGTTGCTACAGAGCTAAATTAGAACTATTATGGCGGATCTGATGAGCATGCATTTTTAGCCACCACAACCCGTGCTTACAGGAAAAAGATGAACAACGCTTACTCTTCCTACACTGTGGGAGTGGAGTCTAGATTTAAAGAAGAGGGAGATGTCTCCTTTTAAAGTTCAGGGTTTCCAAAATTAACCAGGGTACGTGAACAGGCCTGCATAGTTAATTTCTATGGCTTTCATGGGGGTGGGAAGGGGGCTTTTTTTAAAAAAAATAGTGATAGAAATATAGGAGGAATGGAGGGGTTGTCGCAGCTCTTTCAAGCTCAGGAAACGTTGCTGAATTTAATTGCTGCCACTGAAGTCTTGGTTTTGAGCTAAAACCTTGTACATCACTTTCCCAATCACGCAGAAGCCCCTATGCCACAGGTGCCAATATTCAGTGCCTGGATGTTCAATTCCAGGTTGAAATTGTTTTTGGTTAAATGCTTTAAGTGGTGGACAGAGTAAGGGGCCCCCCAAGGATTCAGCTCAGGTATTTATGGCAACACATGAAAATGGTATTTAAAAAATCAAGCAGAGTGGGCTCTTCTTCCCCCTCGCCCCCCCCCCAACAAAAAAAAGAGATATCATATTATCATTGGCTCAGGTAAAGGAGGGAGAAAAACAAGAGTTACAGATGTGAAAAGAAATCAGGTTGGTTTTGGGCAGCAGGTAGCCTAAGACTGATGTAAGTAGAGAATACAAGGAAAATGGAGGACTTTTTTTGTGAAGATGCAAGCTTGAACTGTAGGTATTGCAACCTGAACCTTAAGTATCCTAAGGACAACAATATATCCTTGCCCTAATCCTAGAGGTAAACTGAACGATGTAAATCAGCATCCACCAACAGAACATCAAGAGGCTGGAAGTCAAAATGGCTCTGCGCCATTTGTGGGTTTACCACTGGGCTTGCTAGAAGGGGCAAGGAAAGACCCTAGCAAAAACAAAATCTGTTTGCTCCAGACATTAGTGCAGGGGTCCCCAAACATGGCAACTTTTAAGACCTGTGGACTTCGACTCCCAGATTTCTGGAAGTTGAAGTCCACAAGTCTTAAAGTTGCCAAGTTTGAAGACCTCTGTATTGGTTTATTGGAATGCCCCTTTCTCTGTTTCTCACTTATGCAGCATAAGCGAACAAAACACACATAAGGGTTTTTAAAAAAGAAAGAAAAACAGATGCAAGTTTAAATCACAGTGAATTTTCTGACCCCTAAATCTGTACATTTAAGACAATCGGAACTTCAAAAGAAATAGGCATCGAAGAACCAAAAGGACGTAATCGGACTGTAGCTGCAGGGGAGACAATCGGAATAGCTGGTATTTTGCTGGTTTTGAGAAGCTTCTGTTACCCTTGTGAGATGCCCGATGTTGCTCCAGGGAAACCTGGCATAGGTAGTATTCTGAATTAATGCCCATCATGCTGTAACAAGGGCCAAGTGCACAAGAGAAATGACACGGATGCTTCATTCACGGCCCTCATTCTAGCTTTACGTTGTCGTGGTGACCTCAAAGAAGAAAGCACTTTATTCCTGGGATAAACTCTGGCCACCTTAGAAAAGTTTTGTAGCCGAGGGCTGACATGTTATTTGAGCTATCCTAAGGCAGGCATGAAAACTAAAAGTCCCTCCGCACTCCAATTCTGACAAGGACACTAGGAAGAAGAGCTGTGCATATTTATAACTTTTTTCCAGAAAAGCAATTCCATACAGTCTCCCCTTTCAACAGGCATCTTAAGATAAAAATATAAAAAGTGTGAGAGTTGTATACCCGCAGGGCATCTACTGCACACAGTGTGGGGCAACATGGGACTTGTGAGCCTCCCCGCCCCCCCCCAGCCCACTTTTTGCCAGACCACCATTTTCTGCTACCTATAAACACTACACAATAGGTTCCTGTGCACTGTGGACGTGTTTTACTATCCCTCCCATCAAACCAACTGGGATATTCCCTACATCTGCAGTACCTTCCCCACTTCATAATGTAGAGCTTATCAGGATCAGCAGCACCAACTGAGCAATCGGAAAGAAATATGGAATTGTTTTCTAGACCAGGGGTCTCCAACTGTGGCAACTTTAAGACTTGTGGGCTTTAGCTGGCTGAGGAATTCTGGGAGTTGAAGTCCACAAGTTGCCACGGTTGGAGACCCCTGGTCTAGACCACTGTTGGGTTAGGCTAGGCACAAGGCTACTTAATAACAACGTTGAAATAAATTCCCACTGCTAAAACGATGAAATGCATCACCATTCTCTTGTATCCGTGACTTCTGGGGGGGGGGGGGGGGAACCAAGCATCACGCTTTTCAATGGCTCTCACGCAGGAGAAAAATATTCTGGATATTCTGTTTTTCAGAAGCTTTTGCAAAATACGCAAAAGATGTTCAGGATGATTCCCTTTATGAGATAATACAGGCACCGCCTGTAGGTCTGGCAAAGCATAGCTCCATTTATAACGTATGAACAGTACCCTCCCTCCCTCACTCACCCCTCACTTCTCCAAATATATGAAGCAGTTTATTACAGATTTCTTCATGGGGGGAATAAAACCAGGTAACATGCCTGAGACCTCACTACCTTCTTACTGATACCAGGCGCCCAACAGGTGGCTGGCTTGCACCTTGACAAATAGGGAAAGCAAAATTGAGGGTGCAAAAAAGTGATAAGATGTGGTAGTATAATTAAAGGGAGAATAGCACACAATGCAAAAATCATCCCCCCCCCCACCTCTCCTGGAATTTGAGGCATAAAACCTGAAAGGACCAAGTTAAAATATTTACTAAAGCTTGGCATTCCATAAAAAACTTCCTCTAAACGATCACGTAACAAGGGACTTTTTGCCTGGAGAAGAAACGTCTGGGTTAGCCTATCGGTACGTACATCATGCGTGTGGCTTTAAAGGACGGGGACCGCTAAAAGGGAAACGCCGTGAGTTGAAATCTATGGAAACTGAGCATCATTCACAGTGCGACCCATCTCTCTCTTCATCCTTAATGCTGCTCTTCCTGGAGAACGGTTGCGGCTTCAAGTTTTAACAACAAAAAATAAGCCCGTGTGTGGCTGCTGCAAGCTACATTTTAAACGACGGGATAAAACTATGCCTTTAGTGTTGTTGTTTTGTTTTTAAATGTCCCTATAAGCGGCATGAGGACCGGACGGAGCAGAAACGCAACGGGGCTAATGGAAGGAGTTGCTTTTGTGTGTTCGTGTGCATGTTTGTGCATCATTGAAAAAATAAACCAGTCCACTGTCCAGCAGAGGCTGCTAACACTCTATCCCTTCGCCCCCTCCCCGAGCTCACTCTGCATGGACTTCCGTCTCTGGCCGCTGAAGGCAAAGGTCAGACGGTAGGAACGCCCCTTGGCCCAAAGCTGTGGCATAAGTCCTACTATGTGGATGAGGAAAAGAAGGTGCCACTCCCCCTCCTCCTCCAGAGTATCCCCCTCTTTGGTGCTGAGGCATGGTACGGTAATCATCCAAATTATCATACTGGGATACCACAGTCGTACTTTGGCGTTTGCCAAGGGTTTGGTATGGGTATAGGAGACTGGCATCCCGCTGTGTGCTCTCAGAGTGCTGGAACCGGAGGCTGTGGCTCCGTTCCGGCTTCGGTGGTGGGCCCGGAGGCTGCCCGTAGTGCTCACTCTCTTTATAGCAGTCTCTGGAGTGCTTTTCAGCTGGAGCAGCCGGGTGTCGTGACCGAGCCCGCTCTCCGTCCTCGGCCAGCTTCGCCTCTTTATGGTTCAGTCTCAACACGTCGTGATTGGCCGGGATGTATTTCCCACCCGAGTGCTGATATATCAGGGTTTCCGTGGGTTCTGACGGGTGGCCCTTTGGTCGGTAATCAGCGTAGGAAGGGGCATTTTTAGCATCTGGCGGCTGCCTGTGGGCTGCTTCGTGTGCAAGGTGCATTCTGTGCTCAATGGAATTACAACCAGCCTCGGGCGGTTTCCTGCTCCTGAGGCTGCTTTGTTTCTGAGGGAGCAGAGGTTTCTCTGACTGTCCGTTCCCATAACCTCCGCGGTAATGGGCTCTGTCGACGTCCGGTTCTGGCTGGGGTCCGTAGTAGTGTTCCTCTCCCTCAGGTGCCCCTCCCTTGCTTAGGTATCTCCCTTCTTTCCCGTCAGCAACAGTGAGGAGTCCAGTTTTCCCAGGATCAGATTTGCTGCGCAAGTGAACAATGTCTGTGGCACGTGCCTCCTCTTGCAACAAAGGGGCTACGTTGTCATACTGGGACATGACTGGTCCCTTGACTTTCTGACGGGCACGGCTCTCTCGGCGGATGGACTGCATGCAGTATTTCTCCATATCTTCCAAGTCCCAGGAGACGTACATGGGTTTGACATCAGGGGCAGGCGGCACGTCCCTGCTAATGAAACTATGCTCTTTGCCAGCTAGATGCCCAGGAAGACCTCCCCGAGGGTAGGATGGTAAACCGGGACAGCGATAGAGGTTCTTGGTCGGTAACTTGGAGTAGGATGGAAAATCTTTGCCTGGGAGAGGATGGAACTGCCTCAAACGCACTGTACCGTAAGGATCCAAGTCGTAAAATCCACCCTCGCCTGCAGTGTAACAAGAAACGCTGGAGGAACTTGAGTACGGGCTGTATCGGTAATGAACCCGGCCGTTCTCAAAATAAGGTTGCAGCTGAGTGACGTGATAATCTCCGTGGGGCTGATATGGCTTGTACTGGAGGAGGGGTCTAGGGCAATAAAGGGGATCGTCATCAGGAGGCACCTCAGTGCGGGAGATGGGAACTGATCTGATGGCGGAGGGGGTGGACACATGCAGAGAATGCACCCTCCGGATGGTGGGGTAGGGTGGGGCTTCCTCCGCGCAACTGCTGCTCATCGTTGGGCTTAGGGAAGACAGATATTCGATCCGACTGCGAGGCTTGGCATAATGAACATACGGGCTCTTTCCTTGACTGGCGTACGCGTTATATCGGGACCCCAAGGAAGGCGGGGCCTCCGAAAGAGAAGGGTAGCCCGGATGCTGCTCAGACTTGCTGTGAAAAAGGTGGGGCTGGCTATTTTCAGCCCTATACTGATGAGCCGATGAGGGTTTGGGATGCGCTGGAGCCTCCGGCGTGCTTTCTGACTTGGAGGGAAGGAAATAGGCTGATGGAAGGGATGTTTGCTTAGACAGGGTAGAGGTTGCCAACACATCCTCTGCTGACAGTGGCAATGAGGAAGAAGCCATAAAAGCATGGAAATGGGCAGGGTTTATCGTATCGGTGCTGTTGGAATGCATGGCGGCTGCAAGTTTGCTCTCCATTGTCCTCACAGGCGGCACTGGAGGCATGAAAGCGTACGACGATTGAGCTGGGACAGATTCGGACCTCATCTGTAAAGGTGGAGCCCTGGTGTTTTCTCGGGGTTTCTCCAAATGTCCCTGATGAAACAGAGCCACTGGGGTGGCTGAAGTGCACTGGATTGTAGCACTGGCCTCAGCCCCCACGACGGGAGCTGACTCAGCTGTTCTAGGCTCCAGCAATTTGTCTGGAGTTGCCTCTCCTTGTACCTGGTAGAAGAAAGCACAAAGATCAGTTATAAAACCCAAAACGGTTGCTGAGATGAAATACAGACTTCACTTGCAAACCAAACTGGTTTTTTAAACTAGCAACTTAACCGAGTTTTTACAGGGGAAAAAGCTACAACTTTTGATAGCAGGTGATTGATCCTCAGCCAAGACATCAGTCAACTTTTCACTCCCATCGCTTCAACGGGAAATGTAATGGAAGACGTAATCAAGCCATTTCAGAGAATTACCGTATTTCTCAGAGTATAAGACGCACCATTTTCCCTCAAAAAAGAGGCTGAGAATCTGGGTGCGTCTTATACACTGAATGCAACATTTTTTCCTCCCGAAACCCTGCCCCTTCACTAAACTGGCCGTGCATAGCCTTTAGGAACCTTGCAGAGTGCTCCTGGGGGCTGGGGAGGGCAGAAATGAGCGAAAAACGGGCCAATTTGGAGAGGACTGCAGAGTGCAAACACTTTTTTTTTTTTTAAAATTTGCCTCTTCAAAACCTTGGTGGGTCTTATACTCCAGTGTATCTTATACTCCAAAAAATACGGTAACAGTTCAAATTTGGAGTGACCTTATAGAAACGTAGGCTTCTTCAAGTCTTCAACTGCTACTGCTCCCCCATATGTAATATTTTCCATGTCTATAGGTGGGAGAATTTTAAAATCCGAATCTTTAGCAATGTTCAAATGTCCTTCATTAATTATGTGGTATGCATTCATTTACTACTGCCATGTCATTAAAGAAAATGGGACCAAATAGGCAACAGGATGGTTTAATTCAAAGCAAGTCCCTGCTGGAAACAACAATAGTTGCTTATGAACCATCTTACTGTAGTTAGCCAATATGTGTCAGAATAGCACCACCTACTGCTACACTTCTTTTAGTGCTACAGGTTGTTATGACAACCCAAAACTTCATCCAATGGAAACAGAAATGTTCTATGACTATTCCTAGAACACCTCAGTCAGAGCATCTTGCTAATAATCGTTTTCTCAGGAGAAATCGGCAGCCAAAGTCTCAAATGTTCCCCTTTCTCCCAGGATCCTGGG